TAGTGATTCTGTGATTCTGTGAAGAGCAACTCATTAGAGTACTGTCTATCTCTGTTCTTTTCCTGTTCTTCCAAATAAATTCCCCATTCAGACTTCCTGAGCAGTCATTCAACTCCACAATGTCATTCTTACTCCTCATCTCTTCTCTGTGTGGAGCAGCCTCTATTACATGGATTGTCTTAGGTTTTCCTATATGCAAAGACACAAAATTTTGTAAAAATGTCAGAGTCCTGACCGTAAACTGAAATCTCAGTTCATCCAGTGGAAATCCTACTGCATGCTCTGTTTGGTGTTGGTTATGACTTTCGTTGCCACTGATGTATTGATTTTGCTTTTATATTAGCTGTATTGCCAAGTCTGAGGAATTTTATGTCTAGTATTTAGTAAAACCCATCTTGCATATAGCAAAACTACGTTTTAATACTTTATGTCTTAGTAAAAAAAAATAGGAAAACACTCATGGACACTGAGATGAATCACAGTCTTTTCTAAAGTTTTGTGGGCAATGTAGGAATGTTTTGGGTTTTTTTCTTTTTGCCCTCTTTGTTTAGGAAAAAAGGATCACACACCACCTGTGTTAGAGCCCTGCAGGTTAAACAGAAAAATGGCAGACTGGTCTATTCGATATTTAAGAGAGGAAGGAGAGAGGAATCAATTAAATAGATATATAATCCCAAACCTCATCCTTCTAAGTCATGTCAGGGCAGATATTGTGAGTATGGAGTTTAGTGAGATTTAGAAAAGCTAGTTGTTTCTGAGAGACTTCAGAAAAATCAGAGGGTACGGATTTGGAAACTTATGACTACCAGTACAACACCTTTCTAATGTCTAGATAATCTCACAGAAATATTCTCTCAACTTTCTCTCTGTTTTGAAAGACATTTCAGGTATGAGCATACAGTTAATCACATAACCTTGATGGGAAACAACGCTTCTGCCCGATTAGGATAGTTAAAGATGCATGTCTCTCAAGTTTATAGATTTAAGTAAGGAATGAGATAATCTGCTCTAAGGTAGGTACAGTACTGTATTCAGGATGAGGCCCTTGGGACAGAGTAGCATAAAGCTTCACCACAATGACCTATGTAAGCAAACCTGTCAACAGTAGAGTATTTGTTTTATGTCAATCCGAAGCAAAACCAAAATCTTTTGAGAAAGAAAGTATCCTCCAGGGTACATATACCAATAATGAGAGAACATGACAGTACACACTGAAATGGAAGATTTTTGCCCCACAGTTATCTGTGAAGATATTTATATAGTTAACATAAAAATAGGGGAGACTCAAAAAAACCAGAATGAGTGGCAATCTCCTATTTGAACTGAGATACCGCTCATAGCTAAACAGGAGTATTTTTGTGGCTCTATACAGCTGCTTGTTCTGCTTGATGCCAGCGTAATAGCTACAACTAGCCTTGATATAGTCATAGATGCATACTAAGAGGATGCATACTAAGTGTTATTTTATGACAGAAGGTAGTACAGCCTTGCTTATTAGTACCAATTGCCTTATTTCCCATGGAACTACTTCACAATTGCATTGTGGAAACCAGACCTTTTAGATATTTTCCCATTAGCTAATACTTACAGCATGGTAAACCAGTTTGTAAAGTTAAAAATTAAAGTATTTGATAATTTGATAAACTTTGGAATTCTTAAAACTACATCAATTCATTACCTGCTTTGTTTCTTGCAGTTTTAGCAGAGCAAGATAGTGCTGCAGCTCAACAATATGTTCGTCAGGGATGTCCAACAGCACTCCGAGCTGACCTGTGGGCCCTCATTCTCAATATTTCTAATCAGCCAGAGGTAAGGAGCAAAGTGAGAGTGAAAGATGAAGATGAGTTGAAAACACAAAAGTGCAAGCACATATCTTCTAGCGATCTTTTTCCAAAATAGAAATGCTCTACTGAGTTGTCACAGAAACTGATAAACATTTTATGAGAAATATGTCAATGTCTGTAAAAAAAACTCCATGCTGTGGTGAAGTCTTTTAGGCTCTTCCCTAATTTTTTAACAGGTACATGAGCAAAATACTGTAGAACAAACTATTCAATTCACCTGTCTAGCTCCTGAGTTTTGCCTATATGGTGCTGACTTTTTCAGAAGCGGACAAGAAAAAAGTCCTGGAAGGAAGACTGAACCTCTCTTATCTTTGCTGAGTTTTAGAAAGAGAAGATGCGCTATACCTTTTGCCTGACTATTTGAACCTGTTGTCATATGCATGCACATATCTTGTAAATTGCATATACTCTACAAATGTACAATCAAAAAGCCATAAAAAGGAACTAGTAAGATGTGAATTGTTTTCATACTCCCTTGTACAGCAGCAGTTTTTCATAGCACTTTATATTTGACGCAAGTCCTCAACAATGAAATCTTTTGCAGTATCCGGAGCCATACTATAGTCTATATAACTAATATATCGTAAACATTTAAGTCCCTATTTAAATCTTTGCAGAATTGTGAATGCTTCAATGCAAGGCTTTTATTGCAATGAAAAATAGCATGCATACTTGTAAATTTGCTCACAAATGTAAGAATTTTACAATATTTCATATCCCTTGAGGATGTAGCCATTTTCTTGTAATACAGGGGCTCTGATTGGTAACTACATGGTACAATCATAAAATCTTGCCCTTAAAAACAAATGTAAATCCTGTTCATTGGCAGCTTACCTAACGAGTTGAAGTAATTTGGTCTGGTATTAGAATTACTTAGTTTATTCCTTTTTGAAAAAACAAAATAGGGTTTTGTTTCTAGTAAATAAAAGGTTGAATTTTCTGTAGAAGAAAGAGCTGTTGAAATAATAACGAAATATTATACATTTTACTTACCGTGCTCAACACTAAATTTAAGTTATTTTAAATTATCAGGATAGCTTGACTTTTAGAAGTCTTTTCTTTATGAGAGCAGGAATATTAGAGGTGTGAAATTACTGTTGTTGGTTACATTGTGTCTGTTTATATTCTTTTAAACGCTGCATGCTCTAAAAGCATTTTTATCTTAATGTGGAAGATTAAATAATTGAATAAAAAAGACAGGTATTCTGTTTTGATTACTGAAAGTCAAGATAATAATCAGAAAAATGATGAAATAATTAATTTTATGTTAATGTAAAGCATGAGTTGTTATGGAAGTAGATCTATTAAAATCCATTTCCTGAAATTCACATGGACAATTTTCAACAGTTACCCTTTTTAAAGAGGAACAAGCTACATCTATTAATATATTTGTCAGTCACACTTTTAGGTCCTTTAAAAGTTAACTCTAGTTTATAGTTGTTTTTAATATGTGTTTATATTATGCACGAAGTGTGACTATTTTAGGCATTCTCTAGAGGTTAGTCTCTGCTGTGCGGTTATTAACTCAATGTACTGTTAAGTTAGCTAGAGAACAGTACTTTAGCTATTTGATCACAAGTGCTTCTGTATGTGCCTTTACTGTGTAACATGATAATTCAACTAGGGCAGCTAGTATGTCCTTGTTGACATAACATTTTACCTTGAGATAATTTTCTACACACTTAGCAAACGATACTCATCAACTATAGATGAAGAAGAAAAGTAAACTATATATGCATACAGTATTCTGAGATTCAGTGCAGTAGACATTCTCCTTTAGGAGACATTCTACAGGGTGCAGAGCCTTGAGACTGAACTGAGTAGACTGTGTGCTGGGAATTATTGGTGAGACAATATTTTGTGATGATGCTGAAAGAACTCTAGAAAGATGAGGATAAGTGGCTAGAAAATGGTAAGAATTACACCAAGAAAAAGTGTTAAGTAAGGATGGATGAAGTGATGCAGAGTGCGAATTTGTCACTACTTTGAAATAAAGGATTGGAAAATAGCAAAATAAAAAATCGCACCCTCTCCCCACAAAGAACAGAAATTATCAAGTCTGTGGACATGATATACTATGTTGGAGAAAATTATCTAAGCTGGTGATGTAAGTGCATATGAATATTTTTCTATCATGCTAAACTGAAACTGTATCTTCTAATGTAATAGCTATTGGAGCCTTTTATCTTATTTTCCAAGACTATTTTTGCATAGCATAGTAGTATTTGTTATCCTGGGCTCTAAGTTACAGTTGTTCTACAGACTTTGAGTACTAAAAATATAAATGCACTAAAAGGACAGGGTTTATGACTGAGACCTAGCAGACTGCTCGTAGATCAGGTAGGATAACACATGGGTGACTATAGCTATGTTATAAGCTGAATGTCTATAGTTCATTTTAAGCATTGCCTTTACTAGTGTTCCACAGAAGTAAGGCTGTAACTACTGCCAAAATGTTAACACTCTTGAGACATTCTTCTTGTATATACTGAATACACTGCTTTATTTTTTGTAAAGTATAGCAAAGCAGTTTACACATACATGTAGCTTTTTATGATCTGCTGTATTTCATATAGACTTTATTGATTTATCTAACACTTCTTTTCTCTACCTCTTGTGTACTGTTTCTCTACTGGAGTTGAATTGTGTGGTTGCAGAGATTTCTTGCTGTAATATTTCTGATTTGCAGTTTAGGCTATATTAGATTTATAGCTATATGAATCTGTAACTCACAAGGACCATGAATTTCCTTTCTTTAATGTAAAACATTATGAGAGTTTGGTGTGGGCAGCGTTGTGTGCATTAGCATCCAATATGGTTGTTTGGAACATTTTATGCAGTAAAGCTCAGCCTCTGTATAAAGCTAATATACAGACAAGCAAGGGATGATACTAGCAATCTAACATCGCAATCGTAAAAATGATAAACTGTAAGCTCTATATGCAGGGTTGTTTAGAAATGTGTAAACACATTGCCTGGCAATGAATTGTTTATTAGTTTTCATTTGTAATGGTACACTTTAGAGAAACTGTGTTAAAAGAGCATTTTTAAGGCTGCAAAGTCAAACATCTAAGAGCTGAACAGTGTTGCAGTTAATATTGTCTGTGCAAACAGCCCAATTTGCTGTATATATATATTTTATCGTATGATCTTAAATCACACAATCACAGTTTTTTCCTGTGGGTTGTCTGCCTCATTGGTTGCACAAAATGGATGGCACACACTTACTGAGAATCTGTTTAATATTTGTTTTTCCTTCTGCTCGGTCTGTTACCCTATTGTTTATTCACTGCATGCTATTCAAGTAGTGTTTAGAAATAAAAATTGTTCATTACCTTGTAGGTGCTTTTTTTTCCCCTCTAATTTTTTTGAGTTAACGGGTTGAAAATAAATCTTCATTCTGAAAATTCCAGCATGCAGAAATTAGTAATGCTTTGCTTTACTACAGCTTTTACTGAATGTAATTTCCTAGGTTTAAAAACTTAATAAATAGACAAGGTGGTAAGTTAATAATGGAGCATTATGTAACTCTCTGCCTTACCAGAAGGATTTTTTTAGGTTAGGGTCACTAGCGTAGGGCACCCACAGTACCATTCAAACAGCAGAGAAGCCAGTAGCAGTAACGGGCTGCCATCATCTTTGACTGGGGAAGGATTTCACAGGTGTCTGGTAAAAGGTGAATAAGCTTTGGATCCTCTTCAAGGATTTGCCAGGAGGAACTTTCTTTAAATCTTTTGTCCATTATATCATTATGTAATCTGATTAGTTTTTGTTCTGTACTTGTTTCTGGTACTTCTGTTCCAAAATCTCCAGTTCACCTACTTAATGCTGACTGCCATTCTTTAGGCTTCATCCCCTTTCCCCTTCCCACAAATCTTAGTATCTCCTTTCTAGACTCCCCAGTGTCATTCTTTCTTCATATTCCTAGTTCTGTGCTTCACCCACCCATTTCTTGTATTTGATTTGAGAGGCAAGTATAGATTGTGCAATCACATAATGAGCGTACCCTAAAAATGAATCATGAGCTGCCGACAGGTCAACAGTGAGAGTGCAGCTCCAGTGTCAGCGGCTTCCTGACAGGCCACAGGTGGACTGCCTGCACAGAGGCTGCTGAGTAAACCAAACCTTAATTTCAAGGAAGATGAATCACCAGATTCTGGTTAAATTAGCTTTGCTGGGCACTGCTGAAAGATACTGTTCTCTCTTGCCTATGAGCTACTTTCAGAGCTCCCTTTTCTTTATGCCCTCAAGTGGATACAATATCAGTTTTTGGGTGGAAATTTTGGTATGTGGCTTCGTAAGGTCAAGAGGGCTGGGCACTGCAATCCTGAAATGTACTTTTTGTCAACTTGGTAAGATGAGTATGTTTGGAGGTGCAGTATAAAAAAAAAAATATATATAATTTTGAGAAAAGCTACAGTCTATATAAAAATGCAACACATTTTTAAAAAGGAAGTTTACAAATCAAGGTTACATCAGGACTTGGCAGACAGAAAAAAAGGTTGAATCAGATTAAAATGGTAAGATTTTGGCTTTATAACTGAAAACATTTTAGGCTAAGAAACGTACCACATTTTGGATGCTCCTGAAACTTGGTGGTAGTCAGTTGTGTCATCTCGAGGAAGAAATGCAGCCAATAAAATAGTAAAATGAGACTTGAATCTTTTTTGAAGCCTGAGTGAAGCTCTTAAAAACATTCCTCACTGTGTGAGGAAAAACTGATCACCAAGCAAGAGAGTCATGTGGCTTGAAAGTAAATCTGTGACCAGTCTTGTTTATGATTCAGATATAAGGAATAAATTTATCAATACAGCATGAATCACAAACCTCTTCTCTCACAAAGAGGCATGGGCAAGATCCTCTTGTAGTCAAGTTGTGGCTGAAAAAATGGCATGATTCACAAGCTCAGACTTCATTTTGCATCACAACAATCACAATTTAAGAGAAAATGAATGACAAGTAATGAGTTAATGTCTTTATTCCTGCATTCGTTATGATTGTTTTTGCCTTACAGGTCCCTTTTCTGGTTTGTTTCCCAAACTTTTTCTTATGAGTTCTAGTTCAGATGGACCGCTTGTACTTCTTGTCTTTTTACTAAATTATCAAACTGTTAAAATATTTAAGTATTGTTTTACTCTGCAAATATTTGCAATGTAAATTTGCTATTCATTTTTTCAGGGTAGAGTTTTGAGTTGTGTTTGAAATTTTAGTTCATGCTGAAATTACAATAGCAACAGCAAATGGTCTTTCATTTTCTGAGTAATGACCAAGCTGGCCTAGTGGGTTTTTGTAAGAGCAAAGGAGAAACTATGATTTCTGAAAAAAGAAAAGGTGATGAACTGTGACCGTTTTCATTTACAAATCATATTGAGGAAAGTATTGAACTGAATTATAAAGAACTTGCATTCAGTTTCTGCAAGTTGCTGAAGAATCTGAGCCCGGTTGTTCTCGCGTTTAAGACAGTGCCCTAAATATCAGGTTGCTTATTCTTACCACCTTTTAAATTGCTTTAATTGCTTGCAACAAATTAAGGAGGAAAATTTGGAAGGATATATCATTTCATAAATTGTACATCCTATTGGTTAAGGCTAAGTAATTCATATCTCTGTTCTAACTCAGACAGTACTTGCCCTGTGTTCTAATAAGTAGATTGTTTTCTAAAATCAGTACACAAATCTGAAGGGTGGGCAATGGAAAGTTTCTACACTTTTGCTTTGCTAAAACAAAAAGAAATGTTATAAAATGGTTTAAATACATGTGTCATTCTGGATTAACAAATATCAAGTCCTCTGTTCTGGTTAAACCTATTTAAATTTCTTTCAGCAGTTTTCTGTTTTTCTTCTGTGGAGAATACTGTTCACTGGCTATTGGCATAAACTGTAATTTATGGATAATTACAATTAACATGATTCTTTACGTATCAATTAATAATGCAGTTGAATTAAGTCATAGGAGGCTGATTAAAAAATTAAGACATTAATAATATAACCATAATTCAGTATGATGCCATAAAAAAACCTGCACTGAAACTAGCACTCCAAACTCATTACGTCAGTACAGTTGAGCATCATTTATGAATCTTTTTTTTTCTTGTACAGAAATCTGTTCTTCATACATTCAAGTAATTCCTTCCATACCATGTCACTATGTCTATTTTAAGTGTGAATAAATCAGCAGTAATTAAACTTAACACCAAGTTATTCTGACTGCTAAGATGAATGGACCATGTACTTAAGTGATTACTTTTTAGCTGTGGTTTTACAATAATTTTAATAATAACAGGAAAAACTATGGACTCTTGTAAGCAAATGTAAAACATAATTAAATGGCTTTCTAATTCAGGAAGGAGAAGGTTAGCACAAAACCCTGGGCTAGAGATAATGTTAACTTGTGGCTTGGAGCTACTGTGTGACCTCAGGTGAAACTATTTTAAGAAGAAAACTTGTTTCTGCATATAAATTTAAAGTGTGCTTTATATATGTGTAGCAAAAGATTACTCTCTTCCTTCATACAGCTTTCATCTCCCGCTTTCAGACAGCCTTTTGCAATTGTTCAAGGCAGTTCTAGAGAACTAAATACTAGGAAGTGATAACAGGCAACCATGAGGTTATTAGAATCCCTTTCTCAAGTTACAGGAGATTAGTAGTTGCATTATCTAGTACCCTTGTAGCCATGGCTTTCATTGTACTATTTCTTATGCAGAAATACGTGTACAACAGAAACAGTTAATCATGCAGTCTGCTTAGCATGAAAAAGAAGTTTGTTTGGTTTTTTGTATTAGCTCCTTCTGTTCTAATAGATGCAGTCATTTTAGATGGCAAAAAAACCTTTAGACATTATTCATTTGGCAGTGTTATGCTTAATTAGACTACAGTATTTATGCTCAAAATTGTGACTTGAATATTAGAGTAGTTCTCTGTAGCTTTTAGGAACAGAATGCTACATTCATACTGCAAATAATTTACATTTAGTAAGTATTTATGACTGATCCTTTGTAAAGAAATAGTGTAGTATTTATACCTCCTTTTTTATTTCTCAGAAAGAAAAATGTAAATATTTCCCCTGTGGTAGTTACCAGTACTTAATAAATACAGCTTTTGTCCTCATTTCAACTTAACAGTTTAATAATCTATTAATTCTAATAGTTTCTAAGTGTATACTCTTCACTGCTTCTCAGTTTTGGATTAATACAAAGAACAGTTACAATGTTCCCTAGCCTTATCTTAATTTTTTTTTCCATTCTCTCCCTCTCAAAATTTCATCTTATTTCCTATTTGTTCTTTAAATACTTACTCCAGACTTACGCTTTTTACGAAGAGTAAATCATCAGAGTAAACTGCAAATCAGCAGTAAATTTTATGTAAAGCTTGGAATATACAAGTATTTGTGTGGTGTCCATAGAGACACATTGAAATCAAAATAGTTTTCTGAAGTGGGAAGGAGCTTTGGGACTGCTGATTTAGTTTATGAATTGTTTCAAAATCCATCTGAGACTGTGTTATTCAATCTGAAACTGTTACTCAATTATAGGCATAATGGCAGAGAAGTATTTAGGGATTTAGGAATTACATGATGATAGTGAGATATTTAATTCTTTTTTTCCTTTGCAAGCTCTTTCTAAGAAGAAAGGGATAGAATAAGCAAAAGCAGAGAAGTGGTGGTTCTAATTCTTCCCCATTGTTTCACCCTTCTGTAGACATTCAGGAAGTAACTGGAGTTTAAAAAAAGGTCTGAGTTCTTTGTATTCTTCACAGGTTTTTTTACATATTTATCACTTAATCTTTTCACAAATTTAAACTATTTAGAGATTCATATTACATAAACATCAAATATTTACAGCAACTCACTAATGCTAGAAGATATGACAGAACCTGTTGGTGGAGAAGTGTATGAAAATAGAGGGTAACAAAAAAGCTTAATGATTTTAAGCATTGCAAAGGTTTTAGGTGTAGAGAGAACTAAGGTTGGAAGATAGGGATATTTAGTTTGAACTAGTTCCTTCATTCTCATTTTATTAATTATCTAAAGGGGAGGTCATTTTATAATGTCTCAAATTTCTGCCTAATTTCTTAGGGTTAAACTAGAATAAACAGTGATAGAAAACTTCATAAATTTTGCAGTGGGCTTTTCAGCTGAATACGTGCTTTTTTTAAAAATTTGTTAAAATTGGCTTTGCTAGTTTAAATATAAGTTAAAGTTGTGTCTCAGACTGATGGTGATAATATTTTTAATTTTAGGATATGTTGTATTACGAACAGCTTAAGTCAAATGTGATTCAGCACGACCTTTTGGTGGACAGCCTGATTTACAAAGTAAGTAGTTCACTAAACAGTGATTAAGTGATTTATATATTCATCACACTAATATCTTGTATTTTTTAACAAAGAAAATGTGAGATGGTTTGGTTTTAAGGAGTGTAAGTATAATTAGTGTGAATTTATTACTGTAAACTCTCTCCTCGTGCCTGTGTTGGCTCCTGTGTAAGACATTTGTTTGAGTCGAGCCATTGAGTCATTAAAAAAACAGTAACTTTATTTGAAGGAATAACTAGTTTTACAAGGAAGAAAGCATTGGGGTCCAATTGCTTCCATTTTTGGTTTCAATAGTGAATACTTTAATCACCAAGTTAATATAACACTTTTAAATTTTCAAATGTGGAATATATGGTTAACTACAGCTCTTCATGATTCAATGGTGAGACAGCGTCTTCTACCACTGTGTTAAGTTTAGCTTCTATGGGAGTCAGAAGAGATGTTTTCTGTCTTCAAACTGCTGTATTTTTTGATTACAGGATGTAAAGCTGACAGCAAGCAACGATGACTACTATTTTGTATTTGAGGATTATTTATATCAGGTATGTAACTTTTTTTTTTCTTAGAAAAGCTAGAAAGTATACTCCTGTGGGACTATATCGTCTTTTCAGTAAGAACTGCCTTTGTGTTTCATGTGTAGGCAGAGTACAGTGGGACCGTAGACAGATGCATCTGTTTGCTGGATTACATATACTTTCCCTTATGAATAACAGTCTTGTACACTTAAACAGATTACGCAGGACAGACTTCTAAAACTCCTACTCTGAAGGACCCTACACAATGTCTTTCCAATGCAGTAAGCCAGAAAATAGTCAGCCATATTCTTCCCCTTTCCAGCTTTGCAATAATAAAATGATTAACAGCTGTGACATACAGAGAAATTTAGTCTTGAGAAGTATATTCAGGGTTCCAGTTTAAAAAATAATAATAATACTGCTTTACAGTGATCTACTGTAATAAGCATAAAATATATTGTATTGACATATTTTTTTAATTGAAGACATTGATTCTGAATAAGGTAGTAGCATGGTTACTTTTAGGATTGCTCCCATTCCAAAGCTGCTTCTAGCAATGGGGAACCCAGCTAATTTACAAAGAATTATCTTCATTGCTGCCTGTCAAATGCCCTTAAATAGAAGGAGATTACATTTACGAATTTCCTAATGTGTAGTTGATTGCAGTGTCAACATAAATGTCATGCAGCAAACTTACCATTTCCACAGTGCTTTCAGTTTCATTAGTCACATCTGTTAGGTTAGACTTGCTTAATTTTTTCTTCTAAAGCAATGTGAAACTAAATGATTTCTTCTTTGATGGCAATATGTAAAACTGCTAGTAATTTAACTAAGCAAGAAACTCTCCTTAATGTGACTTAGTGAATATAGATATAAAAATATACGTATTTAAGCATACTGTTCAATCCTGTCTACATATAGTAGTTTAGCATAATAAGCATTTAAACATTAACACTTAAAATTAAAACCTCATGAAATTATAGCCTTTTTTTACTTAAAAATAGTTACAATATTAAGATCTGTATCTGAATTATTGCTGAATTAAAATTTGAAAAGTGACTACATAATGACAATTCAAACTTTTATATTTATTCACTAAAATACTTATACGTAGAAGTCTTTCTTGATTTAAGGGTCAAGATGGTCGTCTTTATTATAACATTATCTCTTCATCATGGGATGTGAAAGCCTCATTCTTATTTCTGCTTCATTCATTATGTAGACTACTAAGGCATATTAATTAGTCATTAACTGACCGTTCCAGTAGACACAGGATTATAATCTATGAAGGAGTATGAACTAGTATACAGTATAATTTTTTGGTTTAAGACCATCAGAAAGAGATATTGTTCATCATTCTCAATATATAGCGCAGTTGAATATTTTAATTTTCCATATATCTCTATTAACTAAAAGAATTATTACAGAATAAAAATCATAAAAAGGACTAAACTATACTTGGTAATTTGAAGGAGAGTCATAAAAAATCTTTGAAAAATTAAGTTGCTAGTTCTACTGCAAGGCTTTGAGGCAAAGAATGTATCAAACTTCCAATTAATATTTGCTCTAGTTTTGTTTGGTACTTTGTGGTATTTTTCAGACTCTTTTCTAGAAGAAAGTTGTCCATTTTCCTTGATAATATTCTCTTCCAACCTAATTTGAAAATGCTGCCAAATGATTTTGTTCTATGGTCCCTGGAAAAATTCTACACTCTGATACAGAATATTATTTATTGATTTCATATGAGAACTGGAATTAAATATTGGCTAAGTAAAGTAGGTAATGAAAATGTTACTTTAAACCACAGAAATTATTTTTATGTTTGCACGAGGTTCATGGTTTTTTTTTCATGACTAGTTACTGCCTCTAAGTTTTATGAGTCTGAGCAGAGTGGGGCATTTGTCTATGTATTACTTAACAGACAAAACATTCATCAAAACCAGAAAATTTGGGCATAAAATAACAATGAGGATATTTGGCTAGATTATTGGTACTTCTTCATAGCATGCAATCCTTTTTGGGAAGTACACTGTGAAACGATGTAATTTATTTCATTTAATATCTTTGCTTTCATTATCTCAAAGTTTACATGTTTTTATTACTTCTTTGTAACTATTGAAATAGAATACAATTACTTTTAATATAGTAATTTCTTTTTTTACAATAGCTTTGGCTTTGTTTTTTTCTCAGTTCTTTCAATTCAGTGGCTTTCTTTTCCATTTTGATTATAAATATTCAATACTTTGCCAAACATTTCTGTACTTAAAAAGTACAAAAAATTGTGTCATCGTTTTCTTTAGCATTATCATTTGTGTGAACGAGAAAAATAATACATGAATTAATAAATTTGTAAATTCATTATTTCAGGCCAGAGGTTCAATTTGAATACTGTAGTCTTACATCCTGCATAATGAATACATGCAAAGAACCTCACCCGGCAGCTCTTAGGTATAGTCGTAATTTATGTTTGAGCTAGAGTCTATCTCTTATAAAGATGCATAGTCTTAATTTAAAGACTTCCAGATACTGGTACTGGACACTGTATTCCTAAAAAAGGGGACCTCAAATTAAGGTTACATTCTTTCCCTGATGAGAGAACATAACTTATGTCCTTTTTGGATTAGTTTCTTTTTCTTTCACCTCAGTTAACATATACAGAGAATTACATTTGCCTGTGTATCGTTATTGTCAGCTCTATTTTGGCAGCTATGAAAATGATTGTGTATTGTGCAAAAATAATATTTAGCTTAAATGGCTTGAGATAAAGAAACTTTATTTTTTTAAAAGATGTTTGTATCTGAGAAATAGTTTTGAGGTTCAAAAGAGGAAGAAGTCTCAAAATATGATCTGCTTTCCATAAAAAATAAAAAAAGCAATGATGTTTAGATGTCACAGTGTTTTGGGTTTGCATGTTTCCTTTTGACAAATGCTGATACCTGGAAAATGTTTGCAATAATTAGTTGAAGGAAAAGTCCATTCATTTGTATTCACAATAAATTATGTAATGAAAGACCATCTAAAACATTTCCATCTTTTATACTTTGGCTACATTTTAAACAAACAAATAAACAAACAAACTCTTAAAACCTGCAAGAGCAGAGAGGGTTTAAGGTATACAAAAGTCAACACTAAGTTGAAGTCTGTCTTACTTCTGCCCTCTTGTGTACATGTTTGATAGTGCAGTCTTTCATGAAAGTTTTGTGTATATTTTTCATAAACATGAAAATTATAAAGTACGATACTAAATATTACATTTTTTACACCTGCTTGCAGGATGAGATTCTTTATTGTTCATTTTTTTAGGAATGCCTTTACTATTTAATTTTATACTCAATCACTGTGAATACTGGAATTTTTTCATTTACCTAAACAAAAAAAACCCAAATATATTTTACAAAATACAGTGTGCATTTCAGAATTTATGGATACGAGATGAACATTATAATCAGTGTTTTCTGAAAGAGCTGAATATTGTGCAAGCATTCTGTAAAGCTCCTCGGAACGAAAGCCAATGTAAGAATCAATCTTCAGGAACTGCACACATGTGAAAATGTAAATGTTTCATTTGCTTATTCGCTTAAGAGGACTTCCCCAAGATCATAGTAACTGAATAGAAAAATAATCTAATAGACATCAAAGCAGCCAGCTGCACGCACAATCACTAATGATGTGACAGAAGGGGATAAACCCATGATGAGAGGCAAAGAGGAGTGTTGGAGAATGTAGATGTTTTACTGACAACAAATAAATGTGAAGGTAAAATAATAGAAAGTTCAAAGCGAGCCTGGAACTTGGAACAGGAAAGTAAGTTAAGTTGGTCAAGAGCTTTCAACCTTATTAGCTCTATTCAATAGCATCTAATAGATGCTAATTAAGGCAGATCCTTAAATATTTTGTTTGACATTGCTATGTTGATTCAGTAAGTCAGCTGATTTTTATGTGCTGTCTTTTCTACAGGTATTACTTTGTTTTTCCCGAGATACATCTGTATTGGAGCACTTTACTTATAGCAGTGCCACCCCACCCAAATCATACATACGAGGTAAAAGGAGTTGTTTTAAACAAGATTGTATAGACTTTTGTTGACTGCTGCAGTAATACAGTATGTGAATTTGCTTTATGTTCATTACACCTAGTAGACTACATTTAAAGGAACGTTAATAAAAACTTCATGTATCCAGTTGACATCTGCAGAGGTTCTATTAGGACAGTTTAGAAGCTGATCACATGAAGGCCAGATGCAATGTTGTTCTTTTACTGTAGTTTTCTGTATATAATTCTCCAGTGTTTCACCAAAATAAATTAAACACACAACTATGACAATATGGTAAAATATTGACAACATCTGTCTTCATCAGAGCTAGAAATTTAGATACACAGTGCTGTCCTCTGCAAACTTCAATAAATTTAGCAACTGGAAGTGGTGGTAGGATGTTATCTTCCCAAAACAGTGCGTTTTGCAGATATTTGTAGATGTGAGAAGAAGACGTTGCTGAAGAATTGTGGGCTCTGTTTGAAGGGCTGGGATAGTAGAGCTCTACCAAGCAGACCTACACTGATTTTTTTTTTTTTATTTTTTTATTTTTTTTCCCCAAAGCATGGCATCCTCCAGAATGTTAGCTTTGGATTTTCTTTGGGTTAAGTTCTCATGTGAGTCTTAAATTCATTGATTCAGTCCACTTGCCTTCTCGGCCAACTTCTAATGCCATATCTCTGGACTAAATTTCCTTTCTTCTTAAATCCTCACCTGCCTTGGCTTTACCCAGAGGTTCCTCATTTTGTCTTCCTTCTTGAATCATTCAGCAATCCAATCACTTTTTTTTCCCATGTACCTTTACCTTCTGCATTCCCATTTTCTTCCTTAGTCCCTTGTGCCAGTGTATTTAGCCAAATGTGATCCTCATCCCAAGTACTTTTTTTGAACAGGACCTCTGCTGACAGTTTTCCTCTTGCTGCTTGTTATGTCACTGGAGGCAATGTTGGTTTTCTAATTTTTTTATTCCTCCTTTATTGCTTTGTAGGTCCTTTCTCTCTCTCTCTAACTGAATTAGGGAGTTTTCTTTGCCTACTTCTTGAAATGAGGAAAGGGCTCACCTGAGAGCAGAACAGCAGTGGGATCCCAGGTGTTGCTTCAGGCACAGAGCCATGGCAGCCCAGAGACACAGCTATGGGGAACATCCTATTTATTCCTAGACAAATCTGGGCAATGAAGTTGCTGAAATCTAAATCTCTGCAAAAAGGCTTGTAGGTCCTATTTTTGGCTAATTTTCCAAGAGATGTGCTTTATGCTAAAAATACTCTCCTTCCAGATTACAATTCCTGGCTGCACAGCAAACAAACTATTGGAAGGAAAAGTAAAAAATGTTTTTTAGTTTAATGAAACAACTGATTTATGTAGTTGGAAAATACTGGATTTTATTTTCATGGGGTAGTAGGCAAGAGCTTCAAAGGGTAATTTTGAATTTAGTTCAGTCAATTCATGCTACAGGAAAGTATCTAAGTCCAGGTTCCTTGAACCTGACAAAAGTTCCCTGTGCTAAATTCTCCTGTATAGAGTGAACAAAACATAGAGATCTAAAGGATCTCTGAATATTCTATGATTTTTCATATAAGTAATTATGTTTTCTAGTTGAATTTTCCCATTTAAAAACTAAATTAATTACAGTTTTTAATTAGTTGCTTAATATGCTTAGAAACACTTTTATATTTCTAAATAAATTGTTAATAATTTTAATAGTGGATTTTAAATTATTAAGTGCTATAGTTAAAATACGGATAACTAATATAACATGTTCATTTTGCAGGGAAGATAAAAAGTTATATAGGCAGTCTATACTATCAGTGATTGTCTTAGGTAATCTTTTGTATCCAACAGATTACTTAAATATTTTTTTGTTATATCAAAACCATACCATCCATCTTCCTCTCTGTTGCAGGCTTAATGAAGCCTTGAATATTTTTTTATCTGTTCTTATACCTTTTTAAATGCCTTTCCTGTTCACAGGTCAGTCTGCCACAGCATGGCAGCCTTATCCCCCTAATCTTATCCCCTCATAGAGCTTCACTGTCTTCAAGGTCTGCAGCAAACACCTTTAGAGCTCATAAGACACAACCAAATAAAATCTCTATGGGATAGCATTGCTGAAATCTTCCTCCTCTTTGCTGTTAGTCATCCTCCCTTATTGGTGCTGCATTTTAGTTTTATGTCTGAAACCATACCTGTCCTCCTGCATTGCTTGCCTGTTTTAGACAATATCAAATTGTCAATACTGTAATTAGTTATGATTTTTATAACTGTAACTTAGAATCTACCTTTTTAATTTAAATCTTTACACCTTTTAATAGTTTAATCACATTTTAATTGTGGTTTGATGATTCACAGGAAAACTCGGAATGGAAGAATATGCTGTTTTCTATCCTCCAAACGGTAAGAATTATACTATTGCCTCCTCTAGTGGTAGATTGGAAACATACAGGATTTTTTTCCCTCAAATACACGATAACTTTTTTCTGTTACAAATTATGCTTCACTGTTATTCTGTGAAATTCATCAATTTAAAGGAAAAAGCTGGACTGAAGCTACTCCAAAACCACATTCAGCCTGGTATTTGTAGTCACATACGGAGTTTGTCTACGTGTGTGGGAAGGAGCAGGAAAACAAGTTCTGGTGCAGCAGCTTGTATTCCAGTCTTGTATCACCACTTTAGAGGATCTGAACGGTACATGCTGAAACTGTCTGACCTCCAGCTTTTCAGTACGCAACAAACCACACCTTAAAGTCTTTTCCTTTCAAAGTTTGTGTTCATTTTAAAAATTCAGACATAACTAATCTATATAATTTTAAGTTAATATCATTGCTGTTGTTCTTATTTCAGTTATTAAAATTCTTTTTTTCAGCTCTTCTTTTGACCACTTCAATCCCTGTCTATTGAATCCTTTCCCTGGTTCAAGCTCTTTGCTCCTGCTTTTGAGGCCAATCTTAAATATGTGTCTCTGACCTTGTCTTTTATGTCTTCTGTATTCCAGTACTGTCAATTGTAGCTCATACTTTTGTTCCCCCTTCTTCCATTTTTGCCTCTGCAATTCTTTGCAGCTTCGTAGCCATGAAGCGTTGTCCTTATGACCTTTTGCCAAAGCAGCTCCCTCTTACCAGTCCTATATGAAAATTAATGAATGGGAGCTAAGATCAGCTGGAATGGAGGAGAGGACTGTCATGATACAACTGCCAAGTCCTCTAAACGTTTTATCTGAGTACTACATGAATTACCGGAGGTCTTGGCCTCCTTTTTCCTGCTCCCTCCTTGTCAGTGCATGACACTTACGGGTTGTCATTCATCTGAAATTAGGTTCTGATTTCAGCAAAGCTTATATGTAATAAATTCATGGAAATGGAGCTTTATTTGGCATTGTAGGAGCTATAGCATGTGTTTAAGCACATAGTTGCTTGTACTGAAGTAAGCAATAAAATTCCTGTACTTAAATATTTACAAGATTGAGACCTAACACTGCAGGTGCCATAACAAGGAAATATTTTATTCCTACTGTAGGCAGAATACAATTTAGAAACTTGGGGGTAAATACATCTTTTTACATGGGTAAAAAGAAATGTAAAAGAACAAAAAAATAAATATTTTTGTTTTGTAGGTGTAATTCCTTTTCACGGCTTTTCTATGTATGGTAAGTGTGACACTCATAAACTCTTAAAACCTCAGGATTGCTTTTTATAATAAAATATTGCAGCTTAAAGCTGTATGTACTTTTCTGCAACTTTTAAACTTGTGTATTCTGTTTCTTTGTGTATGGAGACTTCTATGTAATTTTAAAAATTCCAGGCTGTTTCTATTTAGTTATAGCTAGTTATAGTTATACAGCTCACTCCTGTATGGGAGTTCCTTCCTTGAGACCTAGTAGCTGAGCTATACATCTTAATGTATATGATTAGAGGGATAAAGTTTGTTGACAGAGTGCTCTTTTCTTGTGTTTCTCCTCTGGGTAGACCAAGTTACTTGTGAAAAGTGTTCTTAAAAGCATGAATTATGTGAAAGGCCTGTTGCTGTATCCATTTGTCTAGAACAGGTGTTAAAGAAGCATTAAATAATAGAATGGTTGCTACTTTACTGCACAGCAGAAAGCTGAAATATCAACAAGATTTCTAGGAAAAGAGCAGAAAAATGTCCTGAGGTCTCAGACAAAAGCAAGCAGCTAGTACAGGGGGACTCCAACAACGTGATACTATTTGTTACAGCTTTCCAGGTTTTTTTCTTTGATTTATCAACGGTGTTTGTGACATCACAGGGCAAGCAGATATTAAGATTATACTTAAAATGCTACGTTTTGCTAATAATAAAGTTTAATGATCACATGATCATTAAAATCAGGCAATTTAAATACAAAATGTAAATTTGAACCTGAGTAGGGAATCTTAAGTCTTTGAAGTAATGAACAGCTTAGTTACAAACTCTTACTTAGGTACTCACTAGGAGGCTTTCATGTTTTCTGTGTGAAACTACTTTTCGAAATGTTTGGATTTGACTCTGCCCTTGAGAACAGCGTTTCTCAAACTGGGTGTGAGCTTCTTCCCTTCCTCCTATCCTGTCCTCTCTCTTTGCAAGGGCTCAGAATATGCTGGTTGTGTGAAGGGAGGCTGAAAAGCAAGGCAGCAGAAACACAGTAGTGTAACTGCAGCTGTGGGTATGGTAGCTTGGACCAAGCAGAGCATCCTGTGTATTCCATGCTGCTATAGGAGGAAGTATCTGGAGCCTTACATAAATCCTACACACTTTTGCATGTTGGCATGCATACAGTCATAGGGTGCCAACTGTCAGGCACACTTCTGTTACCTTCCTGGCTTTTAAATATGCACGCTACTGAGTCTTCCACCTCCATCTTCAATCATTAAAAACATATACACTAGTGACACCCTCTGCTTTTCTTACCCCAACGTGAATACACATTTCTGTGAACATCTCACCCTAGCTTAGCAACCCCCCTCTCATATGCATACACCACTGTTTTTCTATTAAGCCACCTTCTCTGGTTTTTCATATATATATATATATCTCAAAATTAATTCACATCTGTATACACCCGTGTATATATATAAATGTATATATATCTATATGCATGTGTATGCAGACAAATATATCCATATCCCTAGCTTTGTGTAAATAAAACTGGAAGGGAAGGTGAATATGGAGGTAGACACTATGAGTGTGTTGAAATGTAAACTGTCATCCATAATGAATTCACCTGTAAAATGAAGTAGTAGTTGTGATGAGTGGACAGACAAAAAGGCGGTTTACAGAAATGTGTATAGAACAACTGTCTGTGAAACATGCATTGAATGAATGGAGTAGCAATCAGAGGGAACTGGTTATGTTTATGCACTATATACATACAATAGACTTAACTATATGCTAGACTTTTACAAAAAGAGAAAAGGGACTGATTGAAAAAAGTTTGAAAACTGCTGCTTTACAAATGTAGGCAACTCTTGCTTTGAATCAGATATACTAAAAGACTTCTAAACTGTAGACTACCAAATGTCCACGGTTTTCTCTATCAGTCTGTCATACTTACGTGATGTTATTGTGGCAATCAAAAGCTATTTTTTTTAATAGTTTCATTTTCACAACACCCATCTTCAAGCAGTAAATTTATTCCAGTCTTACAAATGGAGAACCAATTTCGAGATTGTCACTACCCCAAGGGCACTTTGGAAGTTATAGACAGTTGAATCAAAAACTTGCACTCTACAGCGTACCATTGCCCTACAGCCCAGAGAAGCTATCCTTAAAGCATATTTCTTATTCTTCAGAAGCCAGCACTGTAGTAAGCAGGTTCTAATTAGTTTAGGTTCTTGAAATAGATAGAACTATTACCTAGAATGTATTGTACTCCCTTTCTTAATTTTTTACATCAAGTGATACTCTACTATAAATTATGTCTTTGTAAATAATTGGTTTAGTATTGTTTTGATAAACTGTGCTGCTATAAATTACTTGTTTTCTCCTCATACTTCATGCACTTAATCATTGAACTCTTTTAGCAGGTTACACTGTTGAGTCAATTATGATTCTTTTATCCTTTCAGTTGCTCCACTTTGTTTTCTGTACCATGAACCTTCCAAATTGTATCAGATATTCCGTGAGATGTATGTGCGTTTTTTCTTCAGACTCCATTCCATCTCTTCTCATCCCTCTGTAAGTTCATTAGGAATTAAAACCCACTCACTTTATATTCTGTTTACTATGGAACAATAATATATAGTGGCATGATTTCCTATGTGATTGAAATATATCCTTTTAAATATAATAAAATACTTCAGGTAAGCTTGGAAAAATTATTGGGTAACTCCAGTTTGGATATTTTTGTTGTCTATGTCAAAATCAGTCTTTGCTATAGAATATCCTGTACTTTAAAATAATGCAGTTCTCACTTTATGAGGGTGTGGGTTGTTTTTTGAGAGTCAAGTCTTTTATGTAATAGGTTTCTCAATTCAAGAAGTCACATAAATGCATACTCACTTTCATTTTAATTAATCGCATGTAAGTGCACACTTAAGTATTTTCTGGGGTAGAGAGACTAAAATATAGTCATATACACAGATATTACTTCAGTGGTATCAAGTTAATGTCTGTTTCTTTAACTCAAGTGTCTTTGTGTGACAGCACATGCTTTTTAGCACTACTAGATGAATTTAAATAATTTGGTTATGTTTATGACCAGGACCAGCTTTCTTGAATGTAAGACAATTGTAGAAATTGGCTTATTTTCTATTTTTGAAGACTAAAACATAGTAAATATATTTATTTTTTCTCCTTCATAAAGTGCTGAATAGTTATATTACTTTTTGAAAACATTTCCTGGTTTAAAAAAAAAAAAATCCTTTCTTTGATGTACCATTTCAAGGCTGTGCGTTGTGCTTTCAGTCACTAACAGCAGGGAAACGGGTCAGACAGGAATGTATTCATTTTCATGGTAATTTTTAAAAGAAATTTTACAATGTGTTTACATTTAACCTTTTTGTATTTATCCGCATTGATGTTTGGTTTTAGTTATCAGAGAGATACTATTTCTCACATCCTCTGTTTTTTAGTGCAACTGAGGTCTATTTCATCAAAATGGAAATATTTCAAGTAGGTCATATTATAATAACGCACTAAGTACTTAGACCCCGACATGCAAATAGCATAAGTAACTTAGAGCTGAAAGGGACTATCACAACATATTATGTTGCTAATACATACATAGAATTGTAGAAGCAAGGCTTTAGTGACTGAAGGCATTAGAGCAGCTTGTGCCCTGCTTACCTGAGCTGTATATTTTATCATTAATACTGTTTTATTGCTTGAATTAGAAATTCATGCATACTTACATGCTGATACTGTTTTCTCAGATTTGACAGGATGAGTGTTAGTATTCAGGATATGATCTTGTTTCATTAGGGCATTGTATCATTGTGTTTGCTGTTTGAGACTCTTCTACAAACCCATCTGCCCCAGCTCTTTTATCACCTTCGAGAAATCGGGGCTCAGCCGTAAGTACTTTTTTCTGACTTGCTACAAATGTCGCATATTCATTGTTCTGAAAATGCTGTTCTGCAGTATTTTAATTTAAAATGTATGGGGAAATTATTCAAAAGTGCAAACATCCATGTGCCATTTTTCCTTGAAGTTGGAGTCCTTTGTCTAGTCTGCGTATATGTGCTTTGGGCATTTCTTCTGCATGCTCTATGAAAAAGAGAGGAGACTTGTTCTGTGAGAAATGCTGCACTATTCAGCTAAGTTGCAGTTATTCGTGTCAGATCTGATGGAACTAAGTGATTTATTTCCTAGGGGACAGAAGACAGAGATATGTTAGTTAAAGCAGAAGCTACTGGAAGGGGAGAGAGAGCAAGAGGCTGTCATTCTATAGTGTACTCATGGCACCAAGTGCAATAGAACCTGAAAATCTTGCTGTTATAATTGGTGTCCGTCATAATAGCACAACAGCAGAAGGGATGAAACATTGGGGGTGATAATAGCTGAGGATCCCTCCAATGTGATTGTTTGGTCAGCATATTTTAATGATATTAGTACTTTGTCCAGTGAGATGCTAAATAGTTTTCTGATGGCTGTTGCAAAGGAAAATATTGATTATTAATGCAGCAAGAGAAAATGGTGGTTCTTCCTGGAAGAGAAATGCAGAAGAATAATTAAATACTTTCAATTTATAGAGGATCTGTCTGATAATTATGGGAGACAGAAATATAGTAACTGTTGTTTATCATTTGTTTGCAGGCTACGAATTTCATTTAAATGGATGGTACGAGCATTTTCTGGTTATTTAGCTACAGATCAGCTCTTGCTTCTGTGGGACAGGATCCTGGGATACAACTCTCTAGAAATTCTTGCTGGTAATAGAATTATTTTTACAAAGCGTGTTAAGTCCAGGTGGATGTAAGGCAAATACGTGTTAGCTTCAATGTTATTTTGTGACAAGAAGAAAATAGTTGCTCTTTGAATGCTGAAAGCAGATTACATACAAGTCAAAGAGTATAACTTTTAGAAAACTAGAATTGCATAAATACTGCATCTCTTAACAAAAATGTGCGAGGTAAATTTTTTATGATAGCACTCCAAAAATCCTACATGCTTTCTGAGCAGAACATAGGACGTTCTCCCAGCTTCAGTGGTAACAATAAATGAGTTCATCACCTTTCACAAAATGCAAGATTCATGTTACTCGTTTATGGCAAGTACTTCTTCAGTACTTACAGCAACTGAGTTCAGTTCCTCTGGTTCCCCTGATTTTGCTGGATTTCTTCTTTTGAATTCCCATCTTTTAAGGGACTTTGAAAGTTTTGTACTTATTTTTTTAATAAAGGAAATAATGTCCTAAGATTTATGCAAGGTTTAAGATGGGAGTTCTAAAGACAACGTGCATCTTCAGTTGGGTCAGTTTTCAAATTTGAATTAGGTGAATAGAAGAGAAAAGGTTTTGGTTCCATTTGTTCCATAAGACAGCTATGCAGAGAGATATAATTATATAAGATAGTACAAAATAAATGAACTTTTTTTTAATGCTATATAATAGTCACAACTGAAATATTGCTATTTAAATAAATTCAATTTACTGGCTTAGAAATTACCTAATTGTAAATCATCTTGTCCCTTTTAATTAAAAGCTAGTCATCTTAAACTGAAGCATTTTCACTCAGACTTTTCTGAAAGAATATTTTTTTCCTATCCATTTTAAAGAGTGGCCAAAGAAACTCAAACACAGCCATCCATTGTGTATTATTCTTCAGAATCTAAGTAGTTACTCTAAGGGAGTGAGAATTGGTATTTTACATCAAGATTAATTCTAACCACTAATTAACAGGTCAGCAACTTAAATATTGGGCATTTTCTTTCAGTCCTGGCAGCTGCTGTGTTTGCTTTCCGAGCAGTCAACCTGATGGAGGTGACATCACTGGCTGCAGCTGAAGTAAGGATAAGTTTCAGTTAGAGGAGATTGAAATAGTTTCTGATGCTTTGCCAACAAGAGTAACTTAAGCTTCGCGTGGCATGTGGTACATAGTGCAAATTCTTACCTTAGATAAAAAACTAAGGAAATTGTGAACATGTAGTACATATCACTGCTTTTCTGGAGTAAAAGGAAATAAAAGAGTATATTTGCTACAGAAATGCAGTGTTAACAAATTATTTTGTACAATTATGGTTTTTTTCTAATTTAATATATAATCTATGTTTGTGAGATATATGGCTTTTAAAATATTATAGAGGTTTGTACCTTTTTTCTCAGTACATTTTAAATGTAGTTGCTTCTGTGGTTTTTGATATTACAAAGATTTAACAAAATTACTTTTGTTGATATTGAATCTGAAATTTCACTGAGAGTACTGTAATGGGAAATGAAGAAAATGAGGTTATTCAGATGAAGGTTATTGTTTATATCTAATAATTTGTTAGAATTTTTTTTCTTTTTCAAAAATCTGGTAATGTATTTTTTTTTCAGCTTTGAGAGCTTGTGATGTCTTTTTTTTTTTTTTAAACATACTTTCATGAGAAGACATTGACTATTTGAGTCAGTACATTGGACTTACTTCACAAGTACTAGCCAAGCCACAGGATAAGGATTCTTAATTCCCAATTATTTTTAGAAGCAAGTTGAAATGTTAGACCCCTTATTCACCCATGATGCCATGTATATTTGAAGTAAGGCTAAAGGCTAAAATAAAGTTACTTGGTTTATATACGTAAACATATGCTTTTTCTTTGAAATGTTAGACTGAAAAATAATACCATAAGGCAATAATGTAAAACAGCATAATTTGTTTCTAGCCCCGTCTGAATCTAATTATTGTTAGAATTGTAGTTAATGTTTGAATCTTTTTCTGACTTACTGACTTGCTTTCAAGAAATTTGATTCAAATGTCAAGTTTAACAAGCCTTTTTCTTTATCGTAGGCTGTACTTGCTGACCTTTCAACCCTGAAAGTTATGCCTCTTCTTCAAATCTTCTTGTTTGCTACTGTCACTTGATCTGCTTCAACAATACCGGTACCACAAGTCCAGTCTTTCTTGAGAAGCTAATGATCAACTATGCAATGTCTGCATAAAACCAAAATTAAACTCTATGTATAATATTAATTTAGAAATCATGACCTTAAAATTTTCTAACTGAAAACAATAACTTTGCACACGAGTGTTTGCAGTGCATGCTACTGAATTCCACTGTAAGAGCAATGGTTATTACTTGTACATTGAGAATGACTACTTGTGCAAATAAACAATATGAATCAGTGTCTAAAATGCATGTAATATTAAATAAAGTAAATGTAATTCGTGATCTGAGTTTTGTGATGTTAATGTCAGAGTTGTAAAAGCTCTCTTTTAATATGAAATTACTTTTTCAAGCTCACAGCTTAGAGGATGTCAGCTCAAATACTGTCAATTGAGAAAATAAAGATACTGTAACTTGCGAGAATTTTTTTCTCACTTTCTAAGAAAAAGGATCATACACCAGTTCTGCTATCTCTATCTTATTTATTCTCTTCACAGAAGTTTTCTCCATTTCTTTCTCATGTTAGCTACTTCCGTTTATTCTTTTCATATACAGAGATGTAGTCACGCATTCCTCATTCATCTTCAGTTAGGTATACAGCTATCTCAGGCGTCTCCTAAACTCCTACCCAGTGTCCCATCAAAGGCCCTGTGTCATAAAATACGTTCCTGTGCAGAGAAGGCCTGAGCATAGCTTCCTTCAGAACTTTTTGGAGCCAGTCCTTGCATGAGCCAAAATATTCCCCTGAGAACGATGCCAAGAGTCCTTTTGCTGTGCCCCATACTCTCTTCGGGAGAGCAGTGCTACGCCTTTGCCAGTTTTCCAGCCTCTCTGATTCAACAGCTCAAGCTTCAGTTCAGAATCCAAACTCATACCGATGTGTGACGGATTGTCACTACACTCTCAGGCTGGCTCATCGTCTCTTAGCGATCATACCTTTTCGTGAGGTCTTCCAGCTTTTTCTACTGATCTGTTTAATACCAAAGTTGGAATCAAGAATCCGATTTGATTAAGCATATCTCGATACCTGAAAAAGGATCAAAGTCAAAAGAACATAATGGGTAATATAGCCACTGCGTTTGCCATAGGACTTTTATCTTCGCCTAATTTACAAACATGTAGTTGTCATCCTTTGTCATACAGACTGTATGTATGACAGTGAAACATGAATCCTTCATAGTTTGCTCAAAAGTTATCAGAAAAGTGATCTCAGCTGTAGTCTGAGATAGGGTTATGAGCTTTATGTCTGTGATTCTTGTTGCCTCTGTCAGGATAATGTAGTAAGAAACTTCCTGAACTTCTATAGACTGCTAGTAAATTTATAAGGCTAATTTTAAAAAGGTAAGGTTGTGGACTCAGTGTAATAACTTCTTTTATAAACTGCTTGACAGATATGATGTACTGAATGAGAATACTCGGGGAAATTTTGTTCTAGATAACAAAGAAAATTGATCTTTTCCTTAATATTTGCAAGAAATGATTTTAACTGTTAACTAGAGGCTTTTCTATGACATTTAGTTTTTAAAAAGAGGACACGTGACAGCTTTTCTCTTTACAGCAAGTATTATCCTGTTTTATACATGGGGGATGGAGGGCTAGAAAGATTAAGTGATTTGCCAAAGATTACAGAGTAAATTCCTAAAAGAGGTGAGCGGTTTCTCCTCTCCTGAATTCCTGTTTATACTTCAGGATTCTTAGTTTGTGTATTGACCACAAGACCTTATTTCATCTTCAGAACAACACATAATGCACACCTACCTCTAAAAATGCATCATTTGGCAGTTTTTAAAGTCCGTAAGATTGAGTAGCAGTTTAGAAATTATCATGTTACAAAGCAGTCACAAGGATTGTGGCTCAGTAAGGTCATTACAAGGTTACCATGGCTTTTTAGGGAATTAAAAGTATTTACTAAATAGCAAGGGAGATTCCCTAGAGGCCTGCTGACCCTCTAATTCCCACCACTCTGTGCAAGTACGTGGTGCAGAATCGGAACATTACCCTAACCCATTCCATATTGGGATTTTTGAGCAGCATTTTTTTCTCTTTTTTTTTTCTTCCCCCCCCCTTCATTTTCAATAGTTCAGACAATGTTGTAAGTAGGCAGAGATAGAGACTGTTGGGTTCCTGTTTGGACAAGCAGTTCTGTGACTAACAGTCTGTTTTCCTCTGACTTGGCATCTTGTTTCTCATCCTAACAGTCTCGCATGCCCCTTGTGTCCCCGCTGCCTTCCCCACTGCAGCACTTAAACTCCTCGTCCTGACCTCCACCCTCATTTCTCCTGATGGCTGGACAGGGGACCTGACGCTCCGCAGCTGGTGTGGGTCCACACGCATTTTCGGCTGGGCCACGCGTCCTTGAACCTGGGGTGATGCTGTGCCTCTACTTCAGGGTCAGCCAAAGGCTTCACGGGCTGCGTGCGGTGCTTGAGCCAGGTATCGTACGGACCAGCTGCAGCAGCAAATCTCTTGCATACCTCTGCTGCCTTTTGTCAGATGTCTTAAGCTGACTTTTTTGAGACACGGAAAGATGCACACACGAGACATGTACAGGAATAATGAGTGTAATTGCTTTAAAAGTGAGATTAAGATGAGGTTAAAAATGAACCAGCTCCTCTCCTTAGACTTCAACTATACTGTTAGATTTTTATATTTTTTTTTTAATCTATTTTAAAAAATTGCTTTTACTGAAGGAGGTATTGTTTTCATGTTCCCCTCAGTTTCTCATTTCAGTTCCAACAAAATATTGTGTTTCAGATTCTGGCTGATACTTGTATTTTTAGTCTTCCTTGCTTAAATAATACTCTTTCATTTCAAATATTTTTTTAAAAATATTAAAATGTCTGGTTTCTGTCTAACAGCTAGACACTTCTCTTGTATATGTAGGTAGTATCAATTATTTAAGTTTTAATTCTTTAACTTTAGAGACCAGTTCAAAGCTGTTGATGCCTGTAGTCTATCATTTGACTTCCAAATTCCTAAAACTCTTTCTCCATTTTTGATGTTTTAAGTAAGGACCAGATTTTGATAGTAGAATCATGTCTAAATTGTTAATTACATTGATTTAAACAGGCTCAGTGGAACCTTCAATGGCTCAATTTAGCCAAATTGTTTTTCTTGGTCTGTTCCTCCCTATCTGAAATGAACACAAACAGACATTTCAGTACAAGAACCAGTTGTCTCCGTATTTATAGACAAAGATTGATTTTTTTGCTGCTTACCTTAGGATTCTGGCTATGGTCTGTTAAGGGTTTCTTGTAATGTCAAATAGACTGTATAAAATACGCAAAAGCAAATAGGCTTGTCTAAAAATGTACCCAAGTTATCTTTGTTCAGTACTTCCAAAAATATATTGAAACTTAAATCTTGATGGCTGGGTAATGGAACAATTGAATAATTAGAACAGTTTCTACTTTTTACTGGAATTTTTTTGTCACAGTAACAAATTTTATTATGAGAAATGGAGAGAGTATGGAAACTTTAAAACAGTAAAGGGAAAAGGCTGGAAAGAGACATCAGTTTAAGACACGTTTCTACTTGTTCCCAGAAACCAGGAAAAAAAAAAATGCCCAAGCATATGCCTCTTCTGCTGTCTTCTAATTAATTTTATAAAATTGCTCCAACAAGACTGAAGGGATTTCATTAAACAGAATCGCCGTGTAAAGATCAGTTCGGGAAAGCAATTTAGCGAGCTGCTTGCTAACACTAAATAAGCGTTTGTTTAAAAGATGCTGAAATATATTGCGAGACTGTAGGGCTGTATCTTCAGCGAGGAAGGAGAAGAGGCTTTCGACGTACTTTAACAAATCGGCAAAATATTCTGTCCCGTAGCTTACGTGAGGAAGCGGGGAAGGAGCGGGAGGATGCAGCGGGGGGCGGGAGCTGCTGGGCTCTCCCTCGCCCC